ACAGATACAGAGAGATAGAAGCCAGGTGTCATGCAACAAGAAAGATTGTTTTGTCTTTCAATTCTTTTAAAGTTGTGTGACTATGGTTGGTAATAATGGATTTTTATTTTTTACTTGTGAAAGTAATTTATGTAATTATTAATTATAAAAACTTCAAATAATATACAATATCGTTCAAAAGTTTATGGTTGGTTAGATGTTAAAAGTGTTTTTGAAGAGGTCTCTTATACTCACCAAGGCCGCATCAGCCATTATCAGACTTATTCTAATGAACTACGCCATATGGACACAGTTACAGCCAACGAGAAAGAGAGATGATTAGTGAAATTTTACTATTTGTTTGCGAATGAAGATTCCAGTGTTTAGACTTTGTTCAGCAGAGCAGAAAAACAACAAAAGATATAAATCAGAGAAAAGGACTTTATAAATACTTGTTTTTTAAGAGCTGGCAGGGCAAATTGCAATTATATAAATACACTGGTAACACTTTGCATTAAGTTTTCAATATGTTAACAATAGCTAATATGACAGCTAATGCAAAAGAATAATGAGCTATAATTTTACATCATAAACTGGTTTTTGAGACATGTTTGGTGTGAATTGCCCCCAAGTCATATAAATTATCATTAGCACTCTAGAATACTTCCTTCTGATTGGTTAAGCGTGATATTTGGTGGTCAGTAGAGATGGGTCATTCATGAACGACACGATCATTTTGCCTCTGTCACTTGACAAATAAAGGTGAACTATTATTTTTTTCACATATTTTATCTTTGGCTGCATTATATTTCCTAATACAAATATGAAAATATAACATTTTTAAACTAATAAATGAAATGACTTTGATACACATTAGTGCATTTTGCTCCACACAATTCAAAGTTATGTTAGTAAAATGATCTGATATTTACATCACTGGTCAGATATTGCATATTATCATCATCTTTTGCAGCGCTGTATATCATGCTGCTCACATTCACGTATCATGCAAACGAAACTGGTGCCATTTTGCATCTCAACTATTTACTGTAGTGAAAATGACCTTTGATGACTTTAGTATAAATATTACTGTAATATTGTTGCAGTGATCATCTTGCTGCTAGGGCAATTGTTTTGTCCATTGCAGTTGCAGAAGCTTTAAGAAAATATGCTGGTAAACGTATAATATAATTTTGACTCAAGTCAATATTTCATGTCCAAGTTTTTATTGATTTACTGAGTAATCATGTAATACATGTAATACTAGTTTATTTGTTGGTGGTATAACAGCAGTGAAACTGTCCAGACAGGCCCCACACTCCTCCCTCCAGCATGTAAGACGGCACAGTGTTAATTGTGGTGGGTTTTTCCTGTATGAGACACTGGGGGTAGAGCTCTATTCTGTTTTACTGAGCACTTACAGATGTCCCTTAAGCTTTTGATGTCTTCATGTTTTTCCTTTTCTTCTCTCTCTGGCTCTAGTTGTCAGTTGGTTTACGGTTTTCTGTACAGAGGCTGGAAGATGCCCCTCCTTCCATTGGCTTTGAGCTGCAGATACACAGGTACAGTAAATATTCCCCTTCATTTCACCTGCTTGCAAATTACAGATCTGCAAGTTGCTTCTTTGGTCTTCAAGTAAGCATAATGTATTCTCACTGAGATTATCTTTGACTCACACACACACACACACACACAGACACACACACACACAATCATACACATTTCTGGCCAAATCATTGTCAACACCAAAGTCCTTACGTTCCCACTGGTCATAAAGTTATAAAGTGAATAAGTATCTGTCTGAGAAGCTGAACACATTGCTGGCTTTCACAACGAAACACAGCGTCACACACGGCAGGCTAGAGTGAGTGGAGGCCAGCTTGAGTGAGCAGCGGCGAAAGCCGATCCGGCAATCCACAGCGCGAAGTTGATGTATTTCCTCAGCGATCAGCACGGATCAGCTCCAGGCATGACGAAGCGGATATCGTCTTCTTTTGGAAGACCAAACAAAGTAGTTTCACTTTCACAACGCAACTGTAATTTAATTTGAAGACCTCTTGCACTACTCGTGTGTGTGTGTGTGTGTGTGTGTGTGCGGGTGTGAACATGGTAAGTGGTGTGTGTCACTTTGATGTATGTTTTAGGGGGTCATTTTGTAAGCAAGGGCCCCAAATGTTGGTCGTTATAGAGTCAGGGCTTCAGAACAGGAAGCTGAGTGTTGATAAGATGTCCTTGGATGGGTCACAGAAAATGGATGGCATATCTAAAGAGACTCTGTTTGTCTGTGTGTGGGTGTATGTAGAGAAAAATGACAATTTTGGAAAATATTGGGGGAGTAGGTTCTCTGGTTTTTGGTCATCTGTTTTGCCATTATTAGGGATGGGTCATAATCCTCATAGGGTAATGAGTTTGTCTATTTTATATATGAGCAGTATCACACAAGTAGCTGTGTGATATCATTCTATATCAGCATGGCTGTGATTCAGCCATAGGCACAAGGCTGCATATATTTTATAATAAAAATCTTTATTAAGAACATGTAACCTGACTTATCGATTTTGAAGTTTTGCATATCATTACATTGTGTTTTTAGCAGAACTCCCCACTTGGTTTGCATGTCCTTGGCCATGTTCTGTTAAGCTCAGGGGTGAAGTGTATTTGTTATAATAACACTCCTCACTGTGATGTTACTCACACATATGTTTAATGTGTACATGTTAGTTTTGGGGTGTAGAGATGACTGCCAGGCTGCTCTCAGAGGAGGGATATTTCCCTAACGGTTTAATCACAAAGTCTCTCCATAACTCGGAGCAAGGTTAGGTCAAACAGGAGGGCGAGTCTAAGGGTGTGTATGTGTGTTTGCTTGCACATGTGAGCGTGCACATGTAATATGTTTGCACTTAAGTGTGTGCAGTATGAATGCATTTGTGGTGTGTGTCTTATCTGTTTCGGCATGTGCATCTCTGGAGAATAGAAAAATTTTCTGCTGACTAATGTTGGCCACATGTTCCTCTGCCCACTTTGATTTTTCACCTTGAGACAGAATAAGAGTGAAAGACAGAAGGAGGAGAGAAAACTACAGCTACAGAGAGATGAAAGCCAGGTGTCATGCAGCAAGAAAGATTGTTTTGTCTTTCAAGTCTTTTCAAGCTGTGGCTCAGATAATTGGTAGTAATGGCTTTTTATTTTTTACTTTTAAAGGTATTTATGTAATTATTATTTGAAGAAGTCTCTTATACTTGCCAAGGCTGTGTTTATTTAATCAAAAAATATATATATATTCATTTATTCATTTATTCATGTGATGGCAAAGCTGAATTTTCAGCATTATTATTCCAGTCTTTCTTCAGCGTCACATGATCTTAATATACATTTATACTCATTCAAATTAAAAAAAAAATATATATATATATCTTGTAACATTATAAATATATACACTATGTATAATAGTTACTTTTAATCAATTTAGTGTGTCCTTGCTGAGTAAAAGTTCATTTGACTCCAAACTTTTAATATATAATTTAAACTATAGAATTTATATATTGTTCTTTTTCTGCTTTGTAAATAATTTGGAGTTTATTTTATTTTAGTTTATTGCTTGGGTTCTGATTCTCTCAGGATGGAAATGTCGATGCTGGAATCAAGGTATCACATTTCCTGACTCAAGATTTAGTATTTAATAAGACTTTTAGACCTGAATGAACGAAAGAAAATCTTACAAGACTTCAAAGATTCTGCAGTCTCATTGTTCCTTTCAGTCACAGTGAATTTTATGGCATATAGTAAATATATCGTTTTTTGTGAGCCCCAGTTATTCCACAAGATCAAAGTTATAATTTTCAGACCTTTACGGGGTTTTTTTTCTGTGTATACAGCCTCTCCTTCCACTTCCTTGATTTCCGAGAATTATATATTTTCACTTTTACAATTTACTTATATGTTTTTAACAGCTGCACAGTTATTAAAGTGACATTTAATAAGGTGTGCGTCAATGGCAGATATATTAGGACAGAATATGAAATTGCATGACCTAAAAGGCCAAAAAGAGGTCCATGAAATACAGTACAGTGTTTAATTATGTTATAGTTATATTACTTTTTCATGTCACATTTTGGAAAATTGGTAAACATACTTCCAATAGGACTTTAGAAAGGACTTTCTTTTTGTGCATTGTCACAAATGAAAGAGTGGCAACACACATAAAATCCATCAGTTGTGTTCGTCCACAATCCTCGAGCGGATGTTCACTTGTATAGTATTTGCATTCATTGTGGTGACATACTCTATCAAATGAGGGTTGTCTGATGTACTGATGTACTGTATATGTGTGGCTGGTGGGGATACTCTGGTTTTCGCTTCACAATGACAGTTGACTCGGGGAACTCTAGGACAACGACACACTGATGAAAACAGCATTGTTCACTCTTCATCCTCTCATCTTCGCATTCAAACACGTTCACAGAACACAGATGCTCCCAGCCTCAGGCTCACACATGGAACTGTTCAATAGTCTGTGACACTGTGGCCTACAGAGCCTTACTGTCTCATAGTAAACACTACATAACTCTATTTTAGTGACACTTTATTTTAAATCAGAATGTTACCTTGATAATGTAGCATTAAAATAATGTTTATAGTAATAATAAATGAACAATATATTTGTTGTTTCTCTGAACAGCTCTAATAAGGACAACTCAAGAAGCGTTCCAGTGAATTTGACTCTGAGCATTGCAGCGAGAGCACAGGTGGAGATCAGAGGGTGGGTATCTCTCTTTATCTGTCTCTCTGTCTCACCGAGTGGAAAATTAGTAGTTTCAGTCCAATTTCAATAAAAGAACCCAGACTGCCACTGTTTACCTATTCTGAGGGATCTAGAGAGGTTATTCTGGGCCCTATAACTACTGATTACCAAACACTTCTGTTCATGTAAAATATTGTCTTGGCAGAAGGTCAAAGTGCATAATAAATAAGTCATATGATAGAAAATAAAACTAACTTCTGTTTTTTTATGAGGTTATAGATAATGTATTAGCCAATAATCAGTGTTATCTCTTACTTTCACTCAAGTCAAAAAAAAATTCTCATTCAGTATGTTTCATTTGAAAACTTGTCACATTACAAAATTAAAACAGGTTTTGAATGGTGTTTATTGGCCTGTATATGCTATTTTTTTTACATCTTACTGTACCTACTTAAAATTAAATTCATCCTCTTTTTTCCTTAGTGTGTCTCACCCAGCTCAGGTTGTTTTGCCTTTCCCTCGATGGGAACCCAAAGAGAAACCTGTGAGAGAGGATGACGTTGGCCCTCAGGTTCAACACGTATATGAGGTGCAGAATAAACAGACACAAAACAAAACATTATTGGTGAACATGGAGTTTCAAACACAGGAATAGAAGAGAGAGGGTATAAAAGTCCTGGAACTAACATGCTCTGTTAAATGGCCAGTAAGCAGCAAATATTCAAAACTTTAGTGTAATCACAGGGATCCACTAGCATACACTAGCACTAGCATACACACAAACACACGCATACACACACAAAGTACAAGCATACAAGTCATGCCAAAACTTACCAGCCTAACTTAACCCAATTATCTCTCCAACAATAAAATCAAACTGGTACGCAAAAAGCCTTCACGACATGGCGGTGGCGGCAACAACAATACTACAGCGAGGATAAAAGTTACGCCTTCTTTCTTTGCTTGAACATTTGGGCGGCGTTATGCAAATCTTCTCACATCGTGACGTAGACATGTGGGGGCGTGTTAGAAAGAGGCGTTTTAGGTAGGCGTGGTTGACTCTTAACTTTTATAAAGAATATCTCTTTGGATTTGAGACTTTAGTCTTTGCAACTTTACAGATCTTCTTTATGCACCAAGAGCTTATAACACTTCAAAGAGAAAGGAAAAATTGAAATCGCATCATATGACTCCTTTAATACATTTTAAAATGTAATTTATTCATGTGATGGCAAAGCTGATTTTTCAGCATCATTAATAAAGTCTTGCTTGAGTGTCACATGATCCTTCAGAAATCATTCTAATATGCTAATGTAAATTTATACTCATTCTAATGCACATTTTTTAAGAAATAGAAATATCTTGTAACATTATATCAATTTAGTGTGTCTTTTCTGAATAAAAGTTCATTTCTGACCCCAAACTTTTCATCACTCGTGGACTTTTGTATATATCTACGGAGCTGTAAATAAACGACACCTTGCACAAAAGTGCTATTATGGGTAGAGCCATCATTTTTACAAATTTTACAGACACTTTTTACGTCCCCAAGCGAGTTGGTGGTTCTCGCATTATCACAATATAATTTAAACTATAGAATTTATGTATTGGTCTTTTTCTACTTTATAAATAATTTGAAGTTTATTTTAAATTGCTTGGATTCTGATTCTCTCAGGATGGAAATGTAGGTGCTGGAATCAAGGCATCACATTTACTGACTCAAGATTTAGTATTTAATAAGATTTTTAGACCTAAATGAATGAAACAAAATCTTACAAGACTTCAAAGATTCTGAGGTCTCATTGTTCCTTTCAGTCACACAGTGAGTTTTATGACATATAAATATGTCATTTTTTGTGAGCCCAGTTATTCCACAAGATCAAAGTTACATTTGTCAGACATTTATGTTTTTTTTTCTGTGCATTCATCCTCTCTTTCCACTTCCTAGATTTCCTGGAAATAAATCTATACTTTTTTATAAATTTTTTTTTTTTTTTTTTTTTTTTGCAATTTTCGTCAATGTTTTTAACAGCTGCATAGTTATTAAAGTGACATTTAATAAGGTGTGCATCAATAGCTTAGGACAGATTCCGAAATTACACGACCAAAAAGGCCAAAAAGAGGCCCATAAGTATTTCAAATACAGTACTGTTTAATTAAATTATAATTACATTACTTTTTTATGTCACACATTAGAAAACTATTAAACATAGAGTACTTTCAATTTTAGCATGTTGCAAGTTTGCACTTCTTTTTTTGCATTATCACAAATGATAATTTGACAACACGCATAAAGTCCATCTGTTGTGTTTGTCCACACTCTCTGGGTGAACTTCCACTTCTATAATATTTGCATTCATTGTGGTGACATACTGTATGAGACAGAGGGTCGTCTGATGTACTGGTATATGTGTGTGGCTGGTGGGGATACTGTGGTTTTCACTTCACAATGACTGACGAGACAGTTGACTCGGGAACTCTAGGATAGTGACATTCATCCTCTCATCCTTGCATTCTTAAAGGACAGACACGTTCACAGAACACAGATGTTCCCTGCCTCAGGCTCACACATGGAACTGTTCAGTAGTCTGAGACACTGTGGGCCAGTTCACTGTGACCTATACAGAGCATTACTGTCTCATAGTACACACTACATAACTCTATATTACTGACACTTTATTTTAAATCAGAATGTTACCTTGATAATGTAGCATAAAGAATAATGTTTATAGTAATAAAGATTCATGTTTATAGTAATAAAGATTCATATTGCAAATGAACAATATATTGTTTGTTTCTCTGAACAGCTCTAATAAGGACAACTCCAGAAGCATTCGAGTGAATTTGACTCTAAGCATTGCAGCGAGCGCACAGGTGGAGATCAGAGGGTGGGTATCTCTCGTTATCGGTCTCTTTCTGTCTCACTGAGCCAAAAATGAGCAGTCCCAGTCCTTTTTCAATAAAAGAACCCAGACTGCCACTGTTTGTCTGTTCAGAGGGATCCACTGGATTCACTGGACCCTTATAACTACTGCTTATTAAACACTTCTGTTCGTTATGGATGATGCATTAGCCAATAAACAATGTCATCTATTATTTTCATTCAGTCAAATTGTTTTTTGTTTGTTTGTTTGTTTTCTGAATCAGTGTTTCACTTGGAAATCTGCCACATTACAAAATTAAAACAGGTTTTGAATGGTGTTTATTGGCAAATATGTAAGACTATATATACTACATTTTTGCATCTTACAGTATCTGTTTATAATGAAAATCATCTTCTTTTTTTCCTTAGTGTGTCTCACCCAGCTCAGGTTGTTTTGCCTTTCCCTCGATGGGAACCCAAAGAGAAACCTGTGAGAGAGGATGACGTTGGCCCTCAGGTTCAACACGTATATGAGGTGCAGAATAAACAGACACAAAACAAAACATTATTGGTGAACATGGAGTTTCAAACACAGGAATAGAAGAGAGAGGGTATAAAAGTCCTGGAACTAACATGCTCTGTTAAATGGCCAGTAAGCAGCAAATATTCAAAACTTTAGTGTAATCACAGGGATCCACTAGCATACACTAGCACTAGCATACACACAAACACACGCATACACACACAAAGTACAAGCATACAAGTCATGCCAAAACTTACCAGCCTAACTTAACCCAATTATCTCTCCAACAATAAAATCAAACTGGTACGCAAAAATCTGGAACGCTTACAACAATAAACTTTCCCTGTGGAGTGTAGTGCATTCAGCTAGCAAAAACCAGCTTCTGGAAAGCTATCTATTTGTTGTTTGCTTTTTGGAGACTCTTGACCTCTTTGTGCTGCAAGAGGGCCTCACTAAACACCATCTGTCCTGCGGCTATTAATTTTTTAATTGGCTGTAATGTTGGCCAGACTATGTACAGATGGTTTATGTTAGAAGCAGCTTCAGCTCATGTTCGGTCCAACTGTGAATGCTAACGCTAATGCTAGCCCAGAGTGTTTGATTAAATGTTTATCAGTTCTTGTACATTCTTCCATAATAAATAAAAATCTGATGATTAATTTTAATTGATTTGGCATCAACAGCACTCCTTATGAAAATGTACCATAATTTTATTATTGCACTAAAGTTTTTTTTAATTGAATATCAGCATGGTATGAATAGTAGTATCAGCCATTTATTGGTTATTGGCTATAATATGAAAACAATTATCAGCCCATTGGTATTGGCCATAATTTTCATACCGGTACATCTCGATAAATGTTTATAAGGGAACAACTCGAATATTTTTAATAGATTTAAATGAATTCAGTTTATGTCGATTTTGTTCTTGATCTCTTTCTGTATATCTCTTCCTCTAGTTACATAATAAGGGTCCAAGTTCAATAAGCAGGACTGTATTGGAGGTGGGATGGCCCAGTTGGTACCGTGAGGAACACCTCCTTTATGCCCTTCAGATCATTACTGACGGACCTGTTCACTGCAGTGTTAACGGCTCCCTAAACCCGCTGAAGTTAGAGGTAGCACATGCACACAAACTCTTTTCTCTCTATCCTCTGGTTTTTTTTCTCCTTGAGAATGTCATTCTTAAAGAGATCCAATGCCAGAAGAAAGGGTCTGCATCCACAGTTTTTGAACAATGCTTCGTTGAAGTTGAGCCCCTGAACAGATCTTTTCTCCTACACAGAGCAAGTTATTTGCTTGAATGTTTCTTTCTCCATCTGCGTCACTTCTTTCTCTCTCTCTCTAGTCTGTTCCTTGCTGTCATAAATCTCAGGTTTCTGTGCTTTTACTAATGAGCCTCAAATAAATGTAAAAGTATGACTGCTGAGTCCTGCTTGTTTTTGATCAGAGAGTGTTTGACTAATTCTGACCCCTCTGCTCTCTTGACTGGACTTTATTATCGCTGTTCAGATTTCATTTGCAGTCATTATAAAGTGTCACAACGTCCTCATGAAGTCTCTGTGCCTTGTAACTGATCTGCATTCATGCCGAGTTCAGAATTTTAACCACCTGGACTGATATTAGAGCTCTTTTCCTGTGAACTTTAGAGAGCGTTTTGGCCGAAAACTTTGTGTCTGCCTCTCTTGCCACATTCACACAGTGACAAATGCTATTTATATATGCCATGATATTTCATGTGTAATTATTTTATTGCTGTTATATTTAAAAATTCATGACAGTGTTGTTACTGTTAAGTAAAACTAAAAGTATTAACTATTAACTATTAAGGAATTTATAATTTAAATAAATGAAATGCAGAAAGTTAGAAAACAAAATTAGAAATGCTGCTTTAGAATCTAACTGAAATAAGTAAAAGTACTAAAATTAAAATAAGTATAAGTAAAGAAAAATAAGTAAAAACTAAAATAAACTATTTTTACAAACTAACGCACATAGCACATTGCATCTAATATACATTTATGATTCCTCTCCTATCTCTGTCCTTCTCCTGCATGCTTAGACCTCCACTCTTCAGGACACTCCAGAATTACTGGGCTTTCTGAGGAACAGCAGCGGTCCAACTCGCCATAGACGATCTGTTTCTACAGCCCAGAGTTACAACAGCAAGATTCTGGTACACACACCCTACACCACTCAGCACTCATACACTCCCACCAGTACCACAAACACTCACACAAACCACCTGAAGCACATGGGCTTGCACACCTTGTGGGAACAGCTTCATATATGTGACAGATGGACTCTTATGTTCAACTTGACATGTTATGGGGACCTGTGTTGACCTCAAAGGCTGAGTTCACCTGTAAATCTCATAACAGGTCATTCATATTATGCTTATTGTCTTGCTCTCTCGAAGTGTCCCTTTAGGGGGTTTGTGTGTGTGTGCATGGACCAGCTGGTTTTGATAATCATAGCCCATCACACGTCAAGCAATGAGATAAGACAGGGCAGAGGTCATGTCCTATGCACATACACAAACAGTTGACATAGATACTTCATACATACTCACTATCACTCATCTCTTTAAATGTGACCACAACAAATGCCTCAAACTCTTAAAACTTCCTAGGTATTATTTAGATGTTCAATCCCAAATTTTTTATGTAACAGGAAGAGAGATATGAGACAAAATTAAATCGCAGACTTTCTCTCATTGTGTGTGTTTGTGATAGAACTGCTCAAATATCAACTGCCTGATGGTGGAGTGTGTTGTGGATCGCTTGGATCGAGGGCAAAGTGCAGTGATCAAGTTCAGATCTCGACTCTGGGCTCATACCTTCTTACAGGTACTTTTATCACACAAATATCCTTGCATTTCTTGCCAATTGCACAAGAAAGTCTTGTTGGTTAACCTCGTTAAAGGGATAGTTCACTCAAAAATGAAAACTGAGTAAGCATTTACTCATCCATGTCATTCTAAAAATGTATAACTTTCTTTTCTATATATAACAAATGTATAACAAATAGGACACTATTTTGTATGTATAACATATATATATATATATATATATATATGTGGTGGGCCGCCTGGACCAAAAAAAATCTGAATATATAAATGTAAATTGTGAATATATAGAAGTCAATCAAAATATATTTTTATAAATCTGAATATATAAATGTAAATTGTGAATATATAGAAGTCAATCAAAATATATTTTTATAAATCTGAATATATAAATGTAAATCAGAATATAAAGATAAAAATCTTAAAGTCCCTGTAAAGTCAATTCTGAGAATTGTTTCTAAACGCATTATAAATGTTAAAAAATTAATTGCTGAAACACATTACAAAGACTGTGAATTCTGTAGTACTGAATACTGGAGTTAGACCGTTAAACAGTTTTTCACCAATTCTGTGTTCATGATTTTTTTGGGCGGGGCTAAAACGGTGGCTCGATGACACACTGGAGCCACCAATCATGGCCCCTCCCCTAACACTATAGGTTTCAGCACAGACAGCGGACACACTCCCAGCGTTTGAGAGAAGAGGATACCGCCCGTTTTTTCGAGATTTTGATAACTTATTTTATGTACTTAGCGGACTTTTTTATCATTCAAATTTGGCTGAGTGGTTAATAATACATTTTTCTGTTGCGTGACAAACTCAGAACACATACTTAATATTGACTTTACAGGGACTTTAATATATAAATGTAAATCATTTGTAGTTATAATTCTGAATATATAAATATAAATTGCAATATGTAGATATGTCTGAATATATAAATGTAAATTGCAATATATAGATATAAATCCGAATATATAGATACAAAACTGAATATATAAATATAAATCATGAATATATGTATAGAAGTAAATCTGAATATATATATTTTTTTAAAGAAAAAAATATATAAGTTTTAAAAGTACATGGTATGTAAAACTTAAAAAATAGCCAAGTACATGGCTATTTTCTAATTTTTTATATGTATAAATGTAATTCATGAATATATAGTTATAATTCTGAAAATATAATTGTAAATAGGAATATATATTTAAAAATTCTGAATATATAAAAGCAAATATGAATATATTCTCTACATCTCAATATACTTATATCTTTATTATCTGACATACCAATAGACATAGGTTCTTTATTGATTTTTTTCAATGAAAACAGAATGCCTATACATGTATCAGTGCAGATATTGTACTAATTATTAATTAATTATTGTAAGTGCATATCGCTTATCTTAACCAAAAGGAGTATTTTCCCTTACTTGAAAGAAGGCTGGTGGTGCCAAAAGATCATCACAGTCAGTGACAGTGTTTATACTTAGCTTCTAGACAATTCAACATGGCTTTGCTGAAACATAATCTGTTTACAAATACTTATTTTATTGAGACAATTGCAGCGGCATGTGAGACTTATAAATATACATTCCCATTTAGAATTATATAGTCAGAATAACAACTATACATTCACAATTTACATTTATATATTCAAACTTATATCTACATATTACAATTTACATTTATATATTCAGAATTATAACAACATGTTCACAATTTACATTTATATATTCAGATTTGTATCTATATATTCTGGTTTATATTTATACATTCTGATTTACTTGTATATATTCAGACATACGACTGTATATTCTGATTTACATTTATATATTCAGATTTTATGTAAGTATTTCCTCTTTGTCCCTTCATAATAAATACATACATACATACAGTACATACATGCATAAATACAAATATCTCCCAAAGTTCCACAGAAGAAAAAAGATGCATACAAAACAACACACACACAAAAAACACTGAACACCAAAACATTCTTCAAAATGTGTTATTTTCTATTCCAAAGAAAGAAAGTCATACAGTTTGGAAGAACATGAGTTGGAATAAATGATGACAGAATTTTCGATTTTGGGTGAACTGTCCATTTAGGAAATCTGCTGGGAAAACCAGCATCCAAAGTACAACATCTGCTGGATACAGTCTATGTAATTACAGAGAATGATGCAGCATGGAATCTACTGTATTGTATAAACATTAACAAACTGTCACAGTGTTTTAGATGTTATCTTCACAGTATCCCTGTAAAGTCCAGCTGGTGATTTTCACTTCTTAAATCACTGTATGATCAAAGGCTCTTATTAAGCTGCGTTTACACTGACTGTGATTTTCAGCAACAAACTGACCAGCAGTGATTCATTTTCAATGAGAGTTGGCTATTTGAGGCATCATGAGAGACCATGGCTGATGCAACAAAGTTCAGCAGAGTTCAGCTTTATGCAAATGCACAGTGACATAATTTGTCAACTACCAATGGGAGTGCAGACAGTGAAGTGTACTGAACTCCTAAGTGACTTAAAGAGACCGTTCACTCACCCTCATGTCGTTCCAAACCTATATGACGCTCTTCATTCTGTGGAACACAAAAAATATATTTTGAATTATGTTTCAGTCAATACAATGAAAATCAATGGGGTCCAATGTTCTTTTCGGACCCCACTGACTTTCATTGTTTTCAAACTGTTAAAACATTCTTCAAAGTATTTTCTTTTCTGTCCCAAAGAAAGCCAAACCGATTTAGAACAACATGAGGGTGAGTAAATGTTCATTTTTGAGTGAACTATCCTTTTAACGTGGTGTTCATGGCCACCCTTCCTTTCTGAACACAACAAAGTGTTGTGTAACCCTCAGATGTTAGGCTAGTGTCACAGGAGATGACATCACCAGTCTAGTTAGACATTTTAGACACCTCAGTCACCTCAGTTATACCCTGACATCATAAGAAGAAATGCCTTTCATCTCATGTCCACAGGATAGTCCACAGAAACCAGACACGTGTATGAGAGCACGTACACTGGTGTGTCTGCAGGACAGTAGTGCTCTATGCATGTGTGTCCTGTGAGTGAGTGCAGGAAGTACTTTAAGTTTTAGTTTTGCTGCTCTTTTGACCACTGCTTCTCTCTAAGCCTCATCCATGCTGAAGCCATTACAACTCAGCGCCCTGTCAGACACTCGCCATGTGCGTTCTGTTAATGTTAATCTGACATTTTCCTCTTCTGCGAGGGACCAGCCCTCTATCTCGCTCGCTCCGAGATGTTTCCATGTGTATTGTATTTATGCTAATCCATTGCTTTCCTCTGGCAGAGACGGAATGACCACTACACGCTAAACTCCACAGTGTCCTTTCAAGTGATGTCCATGCCTTATCGGATCAAAGCTGATTCACTCCCACACCAGAGCAAATCAGTGAGTAATCTAGTGTGTTTGTGTGGGTGCAGACTGAGGAAAGTGAGAGAAAAAAAATTTGAACGAGAGAAAGAAAAATATTCTCAACTGAGTTTTAAGATAGACTAAACACTGCTTAGTTCAGTCTGTTTAGCTTCTTATGGAGTAGTTTGAAGCATGGAAGTTTCTAACATTCCTATTATTTGCTGTCTGGCAGTTTTTCCTCTTTAGAAATGAGTGGAGATTATAGAAAATCATCAGGAGCAAAATCTGGAAATGTTACGAATAAAATTTGAACTCTCTATTTCCACAAGAGCACCAAGATTCAATGTTCTGGAATGTACACTACAGTTAAAAAGTTAGGGATCAGTTAAAAAATTTTTTTTATATATAAATAAATAATATTTTCATTTAGCAAGTACACATTAAATTGATTAAAAGTGACAGTAAAGACATTTATACTGATTCAAAAGATTTTTATTTTAAATAAATGCTGTTCTTTTGAACTTTCTATTCATCGAAGAATACTTTTTAAAAAATGTATCACTGTTTCCAAAATATATTAGAATGATATCTGAAGGATAAAGACTAGAGTAATGACTGCTAAAGATTCAGATTTACCATCACAGGAATAAATTACATTTTAAAATTGGACATATTACCATAGTACGTCCGTGGTATTTTAGACATGTACCATGTTATTCTTAGAAGTACATTGGAGTACCATTTAAATACAATGGGATCACCAGTACCAGATGATACCATGTGCTGTTACCACCACAGTACTTTTTTGTAAGGCTCTTTGTGTATTAACAGCATTAGGGCTTCTAAGTGCTATAAGCAAAACATAATACCCACACTTTCCTCTGTGTGTGTGTACTATATAAAACTGACAGAAAAGGAAGGAAATTAAATAATAACAATAAACAAAGCTTTCTGAAGGAGCTTCTGTTACATTTAGTTGTAAAACGAGACAGAGATGAGAGGCGATAAGGGAAAGTAAACTATCAAACTGATTTATGCATGCTAATATCATAGCTACATCAGTGCTAGTAAAAAATTAATGACCTCTGTGTTTTTGTGCGCTTGTGTTTTTAAGATTGGCACATTTGTGGTGTGGGCCATTCCTGATGTTTCTTTTGCCATTCCCCTGTGGGTAATAATTCTGGCTATACTGCTAGGTCTGCTGGTGCTGGCTATGCTTAGCCTAGCAATGTGGAAGGTAGGTTGATCTAACACACACATAAGCACAACTACACAGTCTCACACTGACCTCCATCGGCTCTAACCATGATGCTGTTGTGAATACAATAAACACCAGTCACAAAACTGATAATAAACAAGCTCTGTGTTTCATAGCAAGCACACAACGCCGAGGTCTATTGTATTATGGTTAATGCGTGTACATGCTGGATGAAGCCAAGCTACAGTCACATTATCTAGGTCTGTTATTCCGACTTCAGACGGGCACAATTTCAATTAAGGACTTAAGTGTTTATATGAAATTATAAAAAGACAAATTAATGCTTTAGTCCGATTGAAACTGAACTTTTAAAGTTCATGTAAACGTACAGAGGAAATACATGCTCTTAGAGTGTCTCATGTGTATGTTGGCAATAGTCTTCAAGAGCAGCAACATGCGTCTGTCTGTGCTTCAGTGAAATAACAAAACGAAGGAACTACAGGGGGTAGAGAAAGAGATGGCTGTTAGAGATAGAGTGAGAGAAGGAGATGGTGGAGGAAGTAGAAAAGGGGGTTGGAGGAAGTGAAGTGAAAAAGAGGAATGGGGAACACTGAAAAACTTGATGGAAATTGGCAAATCAGATTAACACAGTGGTTCTCAACCTTTTTTTCCACTGGGCCGCACTATGGTCCAAGTGCAAGTCTCACGGGCCGCACACATATCATTTACATATTATGTCACCAATACAAACCAACCAGATTTATAATAGCCTATTATAGCATAAATATTATGATATCTAATCGATTACATTCATTGAAATAAATAAATAAATAA